AAACTAAAAAAATCTTAAAATAACACTGAAAATCGAATTTTTTGAAAGGAATAAAAGTCAGTTAACTGATTTTGACATATTCTCACCCTAAAAAAATTGAAAAACATAATTGTACACAAAAAAGTTGTAATTTTAGGAAAAACCACTCTCTATTTATATTTTTTGTGCACTTTTTTGAAAAAAATTCAATATTCCGACTCCATTATCTCTGACATTATTGCATATGCGATTTTGCTACCAGAGACTTTTTTTCTCGGTTTTGCATAATCTACAACTTTGCAGTTGACAACTTTTTGCTAAACCCTAAACTTTTCGAGTTATTTCCAAAAAACTAGTTTTTATTACATTCTCATCACATGAGAAAGTATTAGTTTTGGTCGAAAATTGACTTTTGATAATTTTATGAAATCTTTACGTTTTGAGGTCCCCTGAACCCGAAAAACATGGTCCGGCGAGTCCGTCTGTCTGTGTGTCTGTCTGTATGTATGTATGTCCGTCTGTAGACAAAATGTTGTTGACACAATAACTTTTAAAAATCTTATCTGATCGTTTTTAAATTTAACACACTTAAAGTTGGTGTAAAAATGAAGGTTAAGTTCGTTAACCAGCCATTTTCGTTGAAAACTACAAAAACTACGGTAGTTTCAAAATTTTGAAAACTCAATTTTTTCAAATTTTAGATTTTTTAACTTTATATTATTTTAGATTAGGAAAATACAAACAACTTTTCTTTACAACATTTTTTCATGAAAACTCAATTTTCGAAGTTATAGTCTCTTAAATGGTCAAAAAAACTAAAAAAATCTTAAAATAACACTGAAAATCGAATTTTTTGAAAGGAATAAAAGTCAGTTAACTGATTTTGACATATTCTCACCCTAAAATACTCGAAAAACATAATTGTACACAAAAAAGTCGTAATTTTCGGAAAAACCACTCTCTATTTATATTTTTTTTCTAAAAAATCATTAGATTCGCTTGAAACTTGTTACTCGAGGGTTTTTGGGTCGCTGATTACGATTATAATGTCCAATTTTTAAAATTAAACATGTCCGCTTTAATATGACATACAAATTTTTAATTGAAATTTGATAATGACGTTCTTTAGCCATTAAAATACTTAAAATTTTTTTAATGTTTTCCAACTTTCACCAAGTGAAACGCTAAAAGTCTTTTTTTAGGGTTTCGTTGCCAAGGGCCAAAACCTTTAAAGCGAGACTTCGGTGTCCGTCCGTAATTCTTACGTCTTAAGTTTTAAGTCTTATGTATTAAGTCTCAAGTCTTATAGCGAGACTTCGGTATAAAAAGTTCTTAAGTCTTAAGTTTTAAGTCTTATGTATTAAGTCTTATGTCTTAAGTCTTAAGACAACATTACAACCGTTGCTATGTTAATGGTTGACATAACAACCGTTGCCATGGCTACCGTTGCAATGTTAATGGTTGCTAAAACAACCGTTGCCGCGGCAACCGTTGATATAGTAATAGTTGCCATAGCAACTGTTACTATAGTAATAAAAAATGTACAATCTTAAGTACATAACAAATTTAAAAAAAAATTATTATTTATTTATTTTTTTGTGATTGTAGGCCACGAAACCCTATGATTTAGGCGCATTGCGCCTGCTTCTCTCATTGATTTTTTATTTTTCAAATAAATTATGTCTTTTTTTAAATATATTTTTTTGGATTTAATATATTGATAAGTAAAATTATTCGAATTAAAACTGTGAATAATGATTTTTGAAAGGTTTTACAAGAGCTGCAAGCTGGAGATAAAAAAATTGTTTTTTTCAATTTGACCTTGAAATAAGTAATGATTAAAATAAAGCACATACATTTCCATTTTTTTACCTTTAAATTCAAAAATTATAATAACAAATAAAAAGAAGAAAAACACACAAAAAATGAAAAAATAAAAAAGAAAAAAAATATAAAGTTCAAAAATAACAAAAAAAGACTTTCCAGTTCGCGTTTACCTTCACGTGGTTAAAGTTGGCAAACATTAAAAATATTTTAAGTATTTTAATGGCTAAAGAACGTGATTATCGAATTGCAACTGAAAATTCGTCTGTCATTTTGGAGCGGCCATGTTCAATTTTGAAAATTGGATTTCAGATTCATAATCACCGGCCCCAAAAACCCCCGAATAACAAGTTTCAAGCAAATTTAATGAGTTTTTAAAAAAATTGTCCGACATTTCGGATCCGCCATTTCGAATTTTGAAAATTGGACTCCAGATTCGCAATCAGCGACCCCTAAAACCCCCAAGTAACAAATTTTAAGCTAATCTAATGAGTTTTTGAAAATTTGTCGGACATATTAAATCAGCCATTTTGAATTTTGAAAATTGGATTTCAGATTCATAATCAGCGACCCCAAAAACCCCCGAATAACAAGTTTCAAGGAAATTTAATAAGTTTTAAAAAAAATTGTTCGCCATATTAAATCCGCTATTTTGAATTTTTAAAATTGGACTCCAGATTCGTGATCAGCGACTCCTAAAACCCTCGAGTAACAAATTTTAAGCGAATCTAATGAGTTTTTAAAAATTAGTCGGACATATTGGATCCGCCATTTTGAATTTTGAAAATTGGATTTCAGATTCATAATCAGCGACCCCAAAAACCCCTGAATAACAAGTTTCAAGCAAATTTAATGAGTTTTTAAAAAAATTGTCCGCCATATTGGATCCGCCATTTTGAATTTTAAAAATTAGACTTCAGATTCGTTACCAGCGACCCTAAAACCCCTGAGTAACAAATTTTAAGCTAATCTAAACACTTTTAACAATTTCGTACTATCGAATCAAATTTTAAAAAAAAATTGAACTTCAAACTCCATTTTTGAGCCGCCATTTTAATTTTTAATTTTCTCTATAGTCCTATCTTCTAGGTTATATATGGGTGATTTTCACGTAACTGTGCAATTTTAAGATCAGTTTTAAAAGAAAAAAAATTTTGTTTTTTTAATGTTAAATATCACTTTTCCTCATCATTAGAGCATAATATAGTTGTAATTTGAACGGTTTTACTTCAAGAAGGACCCTTTTTTTCTTTTTCTTGTACCAAAAAAAAGCTTAAGATGTGTACTTTCAATTATCTAAAACGAAAAAATGACGCTTTTTTCGAATTATGAAATAATTAATTAATAAAAATTGAAATATTTTACAACAAAATAAAGTTAACGCAATTCTGAAGTTACTACTGTAAAACATTACAAAAATTAATGTATATGCTCCGAAATTTTTATTTTTTGTAAACTACTATCATATTCGTAATTAGAGATCCCAACTATTATCATATTCGTAATCAGCGACCTTAAAAACCCCCGAGTAACCAGTTTCAAGCGAATCCGATGAAATTTTGAAAAAAGTGTTCGCCATATTGGATTCGCCATTTTGAATTTTTAAAAACTATTATCATATTTGTAAACAGCGACCCAAAAACCCCCGAGTAACCAGTTTCAAGCGAATCTGTGAGGTTTTTAAAAAAATGTGCACTTGCTGTATATTATTTATTAAAAAGTCAACTTTGAACGCCATTTTTGATCCGCCATTTTGTTTTTTTCTAATTTTTATTTTACAACATTTTAGGTTAGACATTTTTGACGCGATATTTTTACCTTTGAGACGTATTCCTTCGCCATAAATAATAAAAAAAATTTGATTTTAAAAAAAAAATCTTTAAAAAATTGTGTTTTTTTTAAATTACTGTATGTAATTTGTTTATTTATAAATTTTTAATATTTGTTATTGCAGCATTCGAAAGAGCGGTTCCTGAGCTTTAAGAAATGTCTATTGCAAAATTTTTAGCAATCCGTTTTCATACTAAAAATTGCTCCCAAAGTTCGGATAAAATTTTTGTACATTTGGTCCTTAAAGGGTTAAAAAAATAGCTAATTTTTAAGGAATGAAAAAAGTGTAACCTTGAGTGGACCACTCCTAAAAAATTGTAAAAGTTATTCTATTTTCTTTAATTTATTTAATATTTCTGATATATTAAAACAAAATTTATGCTTATGCAGCTTCAGACCATGATTGTGTCGCAATATTTACAAGTGAAACCACTTTTAATAATTTTGGCACATATCACATCAATATCACAAAAAAATTAATAAAGAACATAAAACATAGTTTCAAACCAATTTATTGTCAATTTATTTTCTTAAAAATGGTAAACTGACATTAAAAATATAAAAAAAACAGGCAGTCCTCTCATGGTTATAAACAGTGGTCCACTCATAGTGAAATACAACTTTTTATGGCAGCCACCACAATTTTTTTTGAGTCAAAATTATCACTTAATTAAACTAAGACAATCAATTGCAATGTCCAAAGTAGTAGGAAAAAAATAAGTTACCTTTTAAAACTTAAATTTTACACTACTTTTACACTTCTGAATCACTTTACTCATTGTAAGAGCGACTTCTTTTTTGGTTTGTATTCTTAAAAATGCGTTACATCAAACAATAACGTACATGTTTATCGCGGAACTTAATTTCTTACAGTTTCTAGGTGCGGTGCTGCTATTCGTTTTATTTATTTCATGTTTCCGCTGTCAGATAACTTAAAAACTCAGGTGGTCCACTCAAAGTGGCGGTCCACTCAATGTGACATTACCCTAAGTTTTTCAAATTAGTTTTAAAACTATTTCTCCCGTTTCTCTAATAACTTGAAAAGTGTATTAGATATTAAATTGTTATTCATTTAACCATAAAATATTAATTTCAAGTTTATGAAAAATATCATATTCAAAACGTTTAAAAAAGCTCCTGTTGAAATGATGAGATTAAAAGTTATTTACATGTGTTTAAATGATAGTATTATAATTATCATAATGTATTATTGTAAAATGTATATTTAAAAAGAAAAAGTGTTATTTATTTTTTGAGTAATATAAAATTTGAAGAAAGGTTGTTAATTTTTAATAAATGATGATTTTAGCAAAATCTTAATGTTTTATTTTACATTTTCTTGTATAATATTTACAAAATTTTTTGTTTAATATCTTATTCTTTTTTAATTTACTCTGAAATATCTACACAAAAGATTTAATGAATAAGAAAGGATCAAAAAAATGTTTACGTAACATTATAAAAACAGAAAGTTCAATGCACAAAGTAGCCCCATCCCGGGGTCTATTTTGTGCACAACTTTTAATGACTACAACTCCGACAAAAAAATTTATTTCATTGACTAACTCATAGGAAACCTTCAGAAGGAAGTATAACATAAGCGAAAGTTGATTTTCTTTTAATTCTGAATTTGAATAAATCACTGAGTTAAAAAAAGCATTTTGATGCACAAAATAGCCCCAGCAAAAATATTTACTATTTACTATCAGCTTGACATAACCAGAGAATTTTATTTTCATAACATTATGAAATTAGCGCATAAAACTAATTTTAGAAAAGTATTCACAAATAAAAGCGTTACGATCAACAGTAATACTGTGCTTCTGCATGGTTGACATAAAGACATTTTAAATTAAGCACCGAAAGTAAAGCCGTGTTTTTTCGAATATTAAGGTGTTTTTTAATAAGTCAACGGTTGCTGAAGCACTGAAATATAAAAGGACACAACTATGTCTGTCCTCTTCTATAATATGTGTTATTGCAGCAACTGTTGATCCATGAATTTGCACCTTTACACTGTACGCCACAGGTGCCACGGAGCCAATATTTTATGTAACACTACGGAGCTGAAAAACATATTAAACATCCAGATGGATCTATTGCAAAGTGGAGTCATTTTCAAACTGCGTATGAGCTGGATTCTAAATCACAAAAAATGGTGAGAGCATTACCTCGAATTAAGGAAGGCCACGTGTATAAAAAAAAATGAAAGTCGATGTGGCTGCGCAAGTGTATAGCAGATCGGTGGCATCTTTTATTACGACAGCTAACAGTTTAGGTAAATTTTTATGATTTATTTATTTACTTACAATAGACACGAAATATATTTTTATATATTTAACGTAAAATAAATAATTAAAAAAACATAAGCATGAATTATGTAATAATTTATATAAGATGTGTTATGAATTGTTTTTTAATTAAAGTTTTCTTCTACAGCACCCTCTTTAATGCCAAATGAAGCACTTGGTGCTGCCAAGTTAGCCCTTTTGGCCATGATAAATTTTGGAGTGAAACGCGTGGAAAATTCCTGAAACTGCGCTTTGTAACAAAAAAAGGAGAAAAGGTTGCTGATCCTCCAAGCTCAATAAATTTCAGACGAAACCTCTCTGCTATGCCCTTAATTTAGAAATGGCTTCAAGAACGTGGATTTTTATCTTTTAAACCGGGTTTCCTAAACCAAGCCATTTTAGAGAACTTTTTTGGATGTTTACGGAGCCACAGTCATCGTTTCGTACATCTAACGTGTCAACAATTCGATGGACTATTTAAAACTTTTCTTATAAACAATTTAACATCGCCGCATTCAGTGGAAGCGAACTGCAGAGACGATGCTAGTAACGTTTTAGAATCTCTTGTCCGATTTTTACAAAACACGAATAGTCAACAAACTCCACCCATGGAACTGCAAGAAAAAGAGTACTTTGAAGAAAATGAGTTAAAAGATAACTAAAGCACCAGGAAATGAAGTTCTAAATCTTGCTTGGTTGAGATATTCAGGAGATTTTTTTTGAATAAATTGGCTAAAAAAATGCCATGTCTAAAAACATGCGCACAATGTAAAAGCAGTTTTTACAGTAGTAACAGTACTGGTAGAAATGTTCCAGAAATTTATGAACCAAGGAGAGAAGGACGGCGAAGAGGTGTGACTTTGGACTATTTCGAACGAGGTTACGTTCATGGGATGACTGTTGTTCGCAAAAAATTAGCTTTAATTGCATTTCAAATAAATTTGAAGGAGAAATTGAAAATTTACGCCACAAGATTTACATTTTATTACATTTTATACAAAAAAAGTAATTAAATTCTCCACAAAAAACATTTATGGGTTTAATAATTAAAATTAAAAATATATGGATTTTTATTTCTGTCAGATTTTTGAAACGCCCGCCCTTTACTTATTAGTTATATTGTACGCCGATAGGCTGCGCGTCTATTACTACGCACTCTGCGTTTGCGCCTCTTCGTTATACTTTGTATTATCTCTCTTACGTTATAAGAACGACTGTGATTTCTCCTCGTGTGTTCCGCTTTATATAAAATGAGTGTATTATTAATAATAAAGTTATAAATATAATTTGACAATTATAAGTGATGAGTGTTAACTTTCTTTCATGAAAATCCCCACCTTCTAAAAGGTTATGGGCACAGACAAACTTTAAAAAGTGTTTTCACGAATCCACCGCGTGAGTTTTGTTTAAAATAGTAAAAGAAAAAATCGAGATTGGAAAAATACGAAAAGACGAGAAGGATGTCCGAAGAAAAACAGAAGATCATTCCAAGTGTGAGCAAAGCTGGTGAGTAAAAATAAAAATCATAAAAGATGTGAGTGATAATAGAATTTGAGAAGTTGCAACACGTCGTCAGAGATACACGTGCGGAGAGCCACATGTGCACATGGTCATAAGAATATTAAAAGAAGAGTTTATAAATATTAAATTAAAATTAAAAAGCATATTTGTGTTTAATTTGAAAATTAATGTATAAATATATTCATAAAAATTTAACGAGTTAGAAATAGAATTCACAGGCTCAAACTTGTTTAGTAAAATGCCGATATAAGAAAGACAAAGAGAAAAATAGACGCCATGTAAGAATAACAAAGAAGCAAATACAAGTGAGTGCGAAGGTGATGGTGGGGATGGGGGGAGAGATACGTACTACAAAATGTTCGAACAAAGGATGAGATATTATGCGCAGTGGCTCGATCTCTCTCTCTCTCTCTCTTTCCTTGGGTCACCTTTGCATGAACTTAAAATCAAAACAAACACAAGTAAAATGTCATGACATTGAAATAGTATTTCAAATAAAATCAAGAAAAGAATATTATATTACAAAATAATAGAATAAAAATAAAAGAAAATTGTACAATATTACTAAATTAAAAAGATATATAGTTTAATAAAAAGAAATAAAATTGATGAGTATAAATATAAATAAAAGATGAGAAGTACATAAAAAAAATTATATTTCAGATGAAGCGACGTTAGAAAAACTGTGGAAAAATTTGGATATAACGTTTGGTTTAAACAAACATCATCCAGAAGATGAGATCCAAATTACAACAGAAGGAGAGAATATCACACTAAATATTGATAACAGAGTATTTTATCACACAGGTGAGCTTACAATTATTTTAAATATATATATTTATTATAAATAAATAAAAATAAATTTTTTTAAATAATCCGAGAAGTTTGCATGAAGATGTTTACTTGATGTTCGGTAATACATTGACATGCATCCTAGGTCAGTCATAATGGTGGTTTTGCTGTGCGAATCATCACGTGACTGATCGTTCTAAAAACAGTTATACTTGATGTTGGGTTAACTGATTTTGGAACATAGTCCTTATAAAAATTAAAAATTAATTAAATTCTAATTTATAGAAAAACGAATGCTGACAGACAGAACATGGGATGCACTTCCATTGTGGTTAGATGAACAAATCCTACAAGATCAACCTGCTGTCATGCCAAGGACGTTCTCGGGTAGCTCGGTCACAGAATTAATGAAAATAGATGAGGAGAATGAGTCAACAAAAATAGATGAGGAAAGAGAAAATAATGAAGATGAGAAATTATATGAGAAGGATGAGACAGGAGGGAAATTAGTAAAATTAGAATTAGAATTAGAATTTCTTTATTTGTTTAAGGAAACCATGAGAACAATTTTTACAGAGCAGCATTCAACAATCATAATAAAAAAAAGAAAGATAGATAATACAATAATAAATAGAATAATCTTGTGCATACAAATACTAAATAAAGCAAAATTTATACAGCAGAAATTATAAATTACCAAATGACTGAGCGGTCAATGATCACATATATAATATAATAAGAAATTCAATTAAAAATTCATACTGTCACACTGTACCACCTACAACTACATATTATGAACACATCATAAGCAACATAAATAGCATATATGAATTTAAATACACATATTTATACATATTTACACGTGCGCCACAAGATAAAAATAAATACAAAGGTAATAAAATCCATAAAAGAAAAGTACATAATTATGTATCAAGAAGCAATAAATATGTAAAAAGTTTTTTTCTAAAAACGAAAAGACTCTGTGAACTTGTTATAGAGCAGGGAAGAGAGTTCCATAGTGACGCAGCAACAACAATAAAAGAATTTTGATATTGACTAGTTCTACACCGAGAAATTCTTAGAACATTAGGGCTTCTAATCTTCCTGGTAGTGATCTCCTGTCTGAAAACAAATTTATTAAACAAATACCCAGGTTCTTCAGAATTTAGAATAGAATATGTCAAACAACCAATATTTAATAAGCGTCTATGTTTAACTGTAAGCCATCCCAGTCTTTCACGATAAGGAGATATATGTTCATCCATTTTCAAATCAAAAATAAATCTAATACATGAGTTAAGGAGTTTCTCAAGTTTATAATTGAGTTCATCAGTAATATTACTATAGACCGCACAGCAATAGTCAAAATGAGGAAGAACCAAAGAAGAGACAAGCTGAAGAAGAAGCGACTGATGAGACGAAGAGAGAAAAACATGATGACTCTGTGACTGCATTTTTCAAAACTGGTGATTAGAAACCTACCTCTAGTAATTTTAATCCTAAACCCACAATTAGTAGTAATATTAAATGCAATTATAAAATAGATCAGTATAAATTAACAAAAAAACTTGAAACCTCTGATTTTGAACCCCCAACTAATAAAAATGAAAATATTTCAGTTGAAGATAGAGTGACCAGACAAGAAAATAAAATTGATAAGTTGATTGTAATCGTGAACAAATTTTGCGAACTTTCAATACAGTCAACTGAGTAATTAACAAGCATTGTTACCCAAATTAAAGATGTGTTAAAACACATAGAAACAGATTCACCAAGCCGTGAAACTTTAAGAGATCTCACAGGTTTACTTAGAACTGACTATGTGCAACAAAATAGAAAAACCAATGAAAATATCAAAGCTTTAGAGGGAATAGCCAAAACTTTTAGACTTGCACAAAATGATATGATGCGCGAAACCAATAAGGTAATCAATGATGATTTACCATCAGATGAGAAAGGAACAAACGATATAAATGATAAATTAAAAATAGAAATCGAACATAAAGTAAAAGAAACTCTTATAAATTTAAAGCAAAAGAATTTAGTAGAAAACTCTGAAAATAGTGAAAACAATTTCAAAAATTTAAAAGTAAACGATGTGGTTAAATTTGAGATTATAAATAAAGGTGGGAATTATAAAAGAGATTACAAATTAACAAACAATGTAGAATTTGAACATTTTAGAGACTATTTCACTTCGGAATTGAGATCTAGCGACCTTTTACACATAATAGATGACAATATTGTTGAAAAAGAATTTGATGAAAAAATCTTAAATGAACAAAAATTTAAAGTTAGAGACATTTTGATCAATCATTTAGATAGCAATTATCACGCAAAGGTCATGCAGTTTCAAGATCCAAAACAAATTTTGAATAAACTTGCCGAAATTAAAAGATGCGAAAGAAATGTCAATTCACATACAGTCAGAAAACAATTATACAATATGAAATATATTTTTGGTAAAAATACAGCGGGTGAGTTTATTGAAAAATTTGAGGACACGATTCGAAATTATGAAAATTCAGAAGGTTCTGTTTCTTTCTCTGAAGATGAGAAGAGAGATGCTTTCTATAATGCTATTATGGTTTCTGTACCTTCTGTACAAACCATTGAATTTGTATCGAAAAATACAAAAGGAAAAAGTATCTCTTATGATCAATTAAAATTGTTGGTTTTGCAGGATGAGACAACGAGAGGAGAAAAAGAAGATGAGAAAGAAGTGAGAACTCTAAACATGGTGAAAAATGATTCAAAGGTGCGATGCTATGAATGTCAAGATCAAGGACATATAGGTGCAGATTGTTCAAATCGTGGAAGAGGAAAGAAATGTTACAAGTGTAACAAATTTGGCGATCACGTTGCAGCTACATGTCCAACTAATCAATTCAATTATGATTATTACAGTAGAGGAAGGGGTTACGGAAGAGGAGGTCACTCAAGGTACAGAAATTTAAACAATTCAAATAATTCGAATAATCAAGGGCGAGATTTAAAAAGAAAAATAAACGTTAATTACCCAAATTACGGTAAAAGAGGGCGAGGAAATTATACTAGAGGGGGTTTCAAACAAAATAACCAAAGATATCAAAATAAAAATTACCACAAGAAAAATGAAAAACAAGAAAAACAATTAAAAAGGGAAAATCAACCAACTAGAAATGATAACATGGGTGAGCAAAACAAAATTCATAATAATTTATAAGTATACTGATATGTCTAATAATAATTATAAAAATTTTTATGATGGGATTTAAATTAAATTTTTAGCTGATTCTGGGGCAACTGATCATATATCAAATTCCAAAATTGTATTTAAAACTTTCGAAGAAACAAATAGTGGAGTTATAAAATGTGCAAATAAAAATGAATCGGCAGACTTAAAAACGGAGGGAGTAGGGAAAATTGAAATAAAATTACACAATGGTGAAATATTTAAAATTGATAAAGTCTTTTTTGCGGAAGCATTGAAAGAAAATTTACTGTCTTTAAGAAAATTCGCCGAAATGGGTTTAGCAATTTATTTAGATAAAGAAAAAATTGATATATTTGATCCTAATTCAAATGAAAAACTATTGTCAGGTGTGTATAAGAAACCATTTTGGGAAATAGAGTTAGAAATAAATAACATTTCAGATAATGGAGAGAATTTTGATGATTTAATAAATAAAGATGTGTTCGTAAATCTAACTGAAAAGGAAAATAATACTCATAAATATCTCACAAGAAGCGTTGTAAACAAAGAAAAATTAATAGAATCAATTAAAAATGAAGAGTCGATTATTTTAAACAAAGAAAATGAAATTAATATAAATAACGATGAGGAAATAAATAAAAATTCAGAAATTGAAGTGAAAAACAAAATAAACAATAATCCTTACGAACAATCAAATTTTGATGTGACAATATGGGACCGAAAATTTCATGACATAAATGATTTACCAATAATAGAATTACCTGACGATGAGAACTTTTTATTAACTAACACAAAAACAAAAGTAAACAATAAAGCTTTATTGTGGCATGGCAGATTTGGTCATGCTTCTATAGATTATCTAAAAGCATTGCAAGGAAAATTTCCTGAAAATAAAAATCTAAATTCTGTAGTTTTTAATAAAGAACTCTTAAATTGCGACGTATGTTTGGTGAGTAAAATCAATAAATTACCATTTTCATTAACTAGATCAAGAGCAACTGCTCCTTTACAAATCATACATGCTGATGTAATGGGACCTATTTCTCCCACTACATATCCCAAAAATTACAAGTATATATCTGTCTTTATCGATGATTTTTCTCGTTTAGCAATGGCTTATCCAATGAAAATGAAGAGTGAAACTGGTAAATGTTTTGAATATTTTGTAAGAAGTGCACGAAATTTAATAGGTCATGATGCGAAAGTATGTTATTTACGTTCAGATCAGGGCACTGAATTTACAGGTGGGTACACGATAGAAGTATTACAAAAATTAGGTGCGAAATTACAACTGGAATGTCCTGACACACCAGAACATAACGGGGTTGCGGAGAGATTCAATCAAACTATACAAAAGAAGGTGCGTTGCTATATGTTTGATTCAAAATTACCAGAGTATTTATGGGACTTAGCTTTAACAGCTGCAGTTTACGCATATAATCGAACTCCACATAAATCAAATAACATGATAATATCCTTAGAAAAATTCAGTCCTGATCACAACTTTGACATTAACCAAATTAAAAGATTCGGTTGTATTGCTTATATTAAAGTACAAAGAAAAATTGGTCCCAAATTTAAACCAGAAGGAAGACGAGTTATATTAGTGGGTTATACACCGACAGGTTACCAGTTATTAAAACCGGAAGATGGGAAATATTACGAAAGTAGAGACGTAAGGTTTAATGAAAAATTAGTTTATGGAGACAAATATAAAAGAAATGAAATACAAAATTTCCCAAGAATAGAAGATGTGACAAACAAAGAAAAATGGTTTACTAAATTTGAAAAAGATGAAAATGATAAAGAAGAGTTAATAAAATCGGAGGGAGAACACAAACGTAAAAGAGGGTGACCACGCAAAAATTTAATAAGTAATGATAAGCAAATTGAAATAGAAAATGAATCAATATTAAAAATCAATCAAGATAATACAGAAACAAATTTACAATTAAACGATGAAACAGTTCATGCTTTACTAGCTGATATCAATTCAGAACCGATAAATTATAATCATGCGATGAATTCAGTAAATAAAAATTTATGGAAAGAAGCAAAAAATGAAGAGTTAATGTCTTTAGAAAAGATGAGAGTTTGGAAATTAATCAAAAGACCAATAAGAACAAAAGATGGACAAAAAACAACTATAATAGATTCGAGATGGTTATTTAAAAGAAAGATAGATTCAAATGGTTGTGAAAAATTCAAATCGAGACTAGTAATAAGAGGATTTAAAGACAAAAATGTATATGAGTTGTCTGAAACATATGCACCTGTGTCAAGATTACCTTTAGTACGAACAGTTCTAGCTATTGCCAATAAATTCAATTTAAAAATTTATCAAATTGATGTCAAAACGGCCTTTTTAAATGGTGAGATAAATGATGAGGAAATATATATGGAAATACCTGAAGGAACAAATCACAATAAAAATGAAAGAGAACAAATGGTGTGCAAATTAGAACGAGCGTTATATGGACTACGTATTAGTTCTAA